GCAGCACCACCACAAGGCAATCTTCCACTGTGAATGGGGGAGAGGATGCCAAGGATGTAGAGGAAGAAGAGGAGGTGGTGCAGCAAGTGAGCGAGCGTGCACCGACACTTCCTTCCCGCACTACGAGTGCTCCATGGATCCAAGCCACACCACAGCAACGCCAAGGCCTTCAAGTCCCTGCAGCTGAGGAGGAAGGAAGGGGGAAGAGGAGAGCCCTAATAGGCTGACCTATGATGCACCGGGAAAGCAAGGCAAGACGGAGAGCCCTGGCCAGAGCGGCAATGATGGTCGGAGACGACGAGGAGAGTGACTACGAGGAGTGTGCCTTCGCATTCTTCTCTCAGGTGGATATGCCGGGAGCACCAGCAGCTCTCAAGGAGGCCTTGGAGAGTAGTGATGCTGAGGAGTGGAAGAAGGCCATGGAAAGCGAGCTGAAGAGCATCAAGGAGAACGACACGTTTGAATAGGTGGAGCTACCGGAGGGGCGTACGGCGATAACGTCCAAGTGGCTCTTCATGATCGTGCGCTAAGTCGAGGCTTATGGCTAAGGGTTACCAGAAGGAGGAGAAGGTGGACTTCAAGGAAATCTTCATGGCGTAGCCAGAGGGGTGTGATGATGGTAGTGGCAGAATGTGAAAGCTGAAGAAGGCCCTCCATGGGCTGAAGCAGGCCCCGAGGCAATGGTACTTGAAGCTGCAATAAGTATTGGAGGAGATCGGCTTCACTCCCTCAACGGCCGATCATTCCTTGTTCATGCTTGGCGAGGGGGAGCAGAGGAGCTTCATGGTGGTTTATGTGGATGACATTCTAATCTCTCACCCTCCTCTTACCTTGCAAAGGAGGTGATGCTGAAGCTTAAGGACAAGTTCAAGTGCGAGGCACTTGATGACGTGAATTTCTACCTCGGGCTTCACATCGAGCGTGATGTGGATAAGCAGTGCATGTGGGTGCACCAACGGAAGTACATGGAGGCCCTGGCTGCCAACTTTAGGCAGAGTGAAGGCCATGTGGCTACTCCATTCCATTCAGGGTTCAAGTGAGTGAAGGGACCAGAGGAGGAGAGCGTTGGTGAAGAGAAGAGGAGCCGATTTTACGCTTTGGTGGGCAGCCTCATGTATGCGGCGGTAAACACCCGACCAGACGTCGCGTTTGCTACCGGGCAGCTGGCTAGGGTTGTGCAATGCCCTAATGAGGAGCAGGTATCATCTGGAATGATGATGGCCAAGTATCTTGGCCAAACACCGACCGTTGGGCTGCAATACTCGGCGGCGGCACAAAGGCGCCAAAAGGGCGCGGATGGTGTTGAACCCGGGCGTTTGTTCCTCACAGTCTTCTCCAATGCCTCTTATGCATCGGAACAAGAGGACATGACAAGTGTGGGAGGCTTCATATGCTGTGTTGGTGGAGGCCCAACTGCTTGGGAGAGCAAGAAGCAGGTGGACCAAGCATTGAGCTCGGTGGAGTCCGAGTACATGGCACTCTTCCGTGCCGTACGGGAGATTGTGTGGCAGCGGCGTTTGTTGGCTGAATTGGGGGAGGAGCAGCAAGGACCTACCCCTCTCTACTGTGGCAGCCAAGATGCCATTGCTCTTGCTAAGAACCCTGTGTTGCATGGCCTTACAAAGCACATGAGGGTGAAGTGGCATTGGACAAGGAGCATGGTGGCTGCGGGTGAAGTTGAGTTGCGCTACGTGAAGACGACAGGGCTGCCAGCTGACATTATGACCAAGAGGCTGGTGGAGCAGCAGCATTGGAAGTGCTGCAAGCTGGCTGGGATGGCTCTGAACTGAGAGCAACAGATCCTAAGGCCAACAACCCGAGGGGGAGTTTCTTACGGTTTGCACTCGGCTTGTTGTCCGTGTGCATGCATGCGTGTGTGCATGGGATGGGGCATAAAACAAATTATATTTCATGCTTATAAGATAGTGTGAATGATGGGTCATTATGTCGAGTGTGTGTGTCGAGTCAATAGCGAGTTATCGCTAGTCGCGTGTTACGCGGTCATTTGTGTCTCGCGCGCGGTTTCTATTTTGTCGTGCGCGGTTTCTATTTTGTCATGTGTCGAACGTTCGGCGTGCCGCAAAGGTGTGCAGCAGACCTATCAAGAACTCAAGGATGAGTTTGTGATGAAGAACCCGAGCCTTGGTTTCAAGCTTCAAGTGATTTCGAAGCTCGCCAAAGGGGTACATTTCAAGATATCATGAATAGTTACATTACTTTGTGTAGTGTAACATTTCACTTGGTGTATGTCAACAGGAGTTGTGTGTTGGCCCCGTCCTCGCTTGGGCGGTGCCGACTTCGCGGTCAGGTGAAGGGGTGCAGCCGGCCTGTAGCAGTGGGCGAGGTGGTCGATGGGGTTGGTCGACCTGCACGGGGAGCCACTGCATGGGCGTCAACTTGGTGACGCAATCTTGGGGCAGCCGACTTGGGTGGTCGGCTAACGGAGCTTCTGGTCGACTTGGTTGGTTGACCAGACCTGCAAGTCGACTTGGTTGGTCGACCAGACCTGCTGGTCGACTTGGTTGGTCGACCAGGCCTGCTGGTCGACTTGATGCTTGGTCGACCAGGCGTAAGGTCGACCTGGGGGTCGACCGAACATGGTGGTAGACGAAGGAGGGGCCGACGTCGACCTCGACAGAGGGATTCAGGACGCCGAGTTGCTGGGCATCGAGTAGCAGGGCGTCAACGTGTTGACGCCGACTTCGGGTAGCCGACTTTGGGGTCGGCTAGTGCTGGTCGACCTGGAGGTGGTCGACCTGGAGGGACGTCGACCTGGAGCTGGTCGACCGAGGGTGTGGTCGACCTGGTGAGGTCGACTGGAGGTGGCCGTCGACTTGGGAGGTCGACGGGCACGCACAGGAGAAGCCGGTCGACGTGGTTGCCCGGTCGACCAGGTTACCTGGGTGACGAGGGTCTGCGAAGGCACGCGAAGGTCGCCCAGGCGAGGTTGGCGAGGACGACCTCGGTGGTGGTATCCCGAGGTCGACATGGCTGATCAGAAGCAGTCGTCAGCACAAAGTTGACGTGGTGTGTGCGCTGTGCAGGTGACGAGGCACTGCACGCCAATCATCTGCGAGCACCTGCGAAGCAGGTGCAATGCTGTACTGCGGGAGCAACGCTGGCGCGCCGTCGACTTGCGCTGTTGTCACGCCGTCGACCTGCAGCGTTGGCGGGCCGTGACTTTGCACTGCTAGAGCGCGGTCGACCAAGTCGTGCTGGCACGCGGTCGACCATGCTGCGCTGGCAGTCGACCTGCTTGCATCCTAGCTCTGATGTAGTCTTGCCTAGCCAACTTCATTGTTTCATTTTTGTCAACTCTCTCTAGTGAAACTCTTGCCAAATCTCCTTGTGAACTAGCAAGTAGTGTGTGCACTAGGAAAACGACTAAGGAACAACGAACGCAGAGATCACACGAGCACCCGTGCCTAGCCCGCAGTCTAGCTCCCGTTGTAGTAGTTATCTCCGCAGTGTAGGCCCTTGTGGAGGGTAGTTTCGAAACCATTCTTTATTGAGAAGAGTGTGGCACTATTCCACATCATTGTACCTTGGCTCTAGGGGTTTTTAGGAGCTGGGAGTCATTCCCAACTCGTAACTCTTCCTAGCTCTTCCTAATTGTGTGTTGTAAGACTATGTTGCCGCCATAGTGCCGTTCGTTCAAACTGACGCTGTGTCATCAACTCTTAATAAAATCGTGCGATCTAAATTGCCTATTGTAGGCGACGCTAAGCTCCAAGTTCAGATCTAAGTTGAATCAGGTCATTTGAAGCTGTCACCAGATCGCTTTGAACATTTGAAGCCGCTGTGCAGAAATCCGAATATACACTCTATCTTTCGTTTTAGGCATATTGAAGCCTATTGTGAACATAACACTACTTTCCCTTATAGTTGGTACTAAAAGTAAGTGCACTACTTCCTTTATGGTTGAGACTACGAATAAGTGTGTTGCTTACCCTTATGATTGGTAAGAAAAGTTGGTATAAGGGCCTAATAAACTCAAGCTATTAGGACTTAATCAAACTTAAAACCTCTTCTCGAAAATAACAAGAGTACCTTGAACGTTGCGCAGCGTGCCGTGCAGACCGTCGATCGGATTAAGCTGAGAATTTGCTATATCGAAGCTCGCTCCAAGAGCTTTAAAATGAGCCAAGTTTCCTCGCGAAAAGTTTTGCCATTACGAAGTTATGGCTCGGACAGCGTTTGCCTAGCGTTGGAGTGCTAGCGTACTAGCGTTGACTCGGGCAGCATTCCGCCGTCGAACCGCGTAGACACGAAATTCCAGCAAGGAAGGAATCCGCTTGAATCAATTGACTATATCCAGGTACAAACAAAGAAGGAATAAATAGTTCTAGCTAGCAAGGGCCTTGGGAATCAACCTGGGAACAACCAGGGATGATCCCAAATAATTCCAAGCAACAGAACCAACCTGGCTGGACAAAATAGCAGGTGGTAGGTTGGTAAACAACCTCTGGTTCTGTTTTTCCAACCTGGGAAAACAACAACCAGGTTCAGGTTCTAAAAACAGAACCTGTTTTGTCTTTGCCTAACCAGCCAAATGCTGGTTCTGCTGGTTTCCCCTGGCCTTGTAGCATGCAGATACAGACAAACAACATCCAACCTTCACCTAAATTGTACCCCTATAGTGCCTGCCCTGCTACACTATAGTCAACCAAACAATACAGTACAATTTCGAGTTGGATAGAACTGAATCTGTGCAATCAATTTAACCGAACTGCAAAGCTTCCATCTTGGGTTCCTTTGCAAGCTCGTCCTTTCTGCTTGCACTGTTCAACAATGTTGTGCCGAAGCGCACATTGCGCGAGTACCTGCAAATGCTTCAAGCAAAAATTGCGAAAGCAAACAAGCACACGAACACACCATTCACACGCAAACGCATTCGCACACGCATACTCGTACAAACAGATGGCAGGATGTCGTGCAATGTGAATTTGCACCCAACACACTCCCCCTCAGCCTGCCGGCTGCATTCCCATCATTCCATGCTAGTTCATGCTCATTCCACTCATGCGCACACAACGCCAATGAGGCTCATCCGCAAGCCTCTTGGTGAGAAAGTCTGCTGGCTGCTGGTGAGTCTTGATGTAGATCGGATTCACTGTCCCCCTCTTCACCTCCTTACGCAGCCAGTGCCACTTGATACGCATGTGCTTGTTCAGCCCATGAAGCACAGCGTTCCTGGCCATCCCAAGAGCCCCCTTGCTGTCACAAAACAGCGGCGTAGCGACCTTCTGCTCCTGGCCAATCTCCTCTAACAGCCTCCTCAGCCAAATCACCTCCTTCACCCCATGGAACATCGCCATGTACTCTGACTCAACAGAGGAGAGTGCCGTCTCTGTCTGCTTCTTGGACCTCCAACTAACAGGTCCACCCCCAACTACGCAGATGTATCCTCCCACAGATGAAGAATCCTCCTTCTCAGAAGCCCAAGTAGCATCAGTAAAGCAGGTGAGAAAGAGCTTGCCTTCTCCAAGCCGCTCCCCCTTCTCTTTCAGCACCTCAACCCCTTTCTGCTTCACCTGTGCAGATGCGGAGTATTGGACTCCAATGCTTGGGTGAGAGTTCAAATACTTCACCACGCGCTCAGCTGCATCCATCTGCTCCTCTGATGGATTCTGCACCACCCTAGCCAGCTGCCCAACCGAGAAAGAGATGTCAGGCCTCGTGTGAACTGCTGCATACAAGAGGCTGCCCACCAAGGACTGGAATTGCTGCTGCTCCTTTGTTTCAACCCCTTCATCCTCTGCAGCCTTCACAAGCTTGAATTCTGCTGGCAGGGGAGTTGCAACCTTGCGCTCATTCTCAATCCCATACTTCTCCCCCAGCTCCTTGATAAATTTCTATTGGTGTAGCTTCAACCAACTGTGATCCAGATCCCTCTCCACGTGCATCCCAAGGTAGTACTTTACCTCCCCAAGGTTCTTGCACTTGAAGTTCTCCATCAGCTGCTGCTGCACTTTCTGGATCTCTTTCATGCTGCTGCTGAAGAGAAGAATGTCGTCCACGTAGACCAGAAACAGCACCAGCTTCTCCCCCTCCCCCTTGAGAAAGAGACTCTCATCACAGCTGCTGGTCCTGAATCCCATCTCCTCTAAAACAGCTGCCAACTTCTGGTACCAGCAGCGTGGCGCCTACTTCAAGCCGTAGATGGACTTTTTCAGCTTGCACACCCTGCCCGTACCATCCTCATACCCAGGCGGCTGCGTCATGAACACCTCCTCCTCTAAAATTCCGTTGAGGAATGCCGTTGATATATCCATCTGGATAATGAATTTCCCACTAACGGCTGCATCTGCCAACAAGACACGAAGGGTAGGGGGTTTGGCAGTGGGAGCAAAGATCTCATTGAAGTCCCGCTTCTCCTTCTGCATAAACCCCTTAGCCACCAACCTACTCTTGTAGATGGTGACCTGCCCCTTGTCGTCAGTCTTGATCCTTAGCACCCACTTGCATTGTACCGCTTTCTTTCCCTCAGGCAGCACCACTAGTTCCCAAGTCCCATTCTCCAGCAGGCTCTGGTACTCAGCATCCCTAGAAGCCAGCCACTTGTCCCTATCTGGTCCAGCTAATGCCTCCTCCATGCTAGCTGGTTCCTCTGGTGCAGGGGCAAGAAAACAGTACGCAGGCTCATCCTCCTCATCCGGGTCATTGCCATGAGGTAAAATCAGCATTGCCTCCTCATTCCCAAGCTGCTGCTCTGCTACATCAGATCCTGCAGTCAGCTTCATTGTTGCCATGCGGGTGCGCCCTGGCCTAGAGACGGGTGTTTCCCACCCCTTCATAACGACACCCTTCGTTTTCCTCATTTGCGGTAGCTTAGGCACCTTACCTTTGCTCTGCTGCTGCTCTCCTCTTTCAGATCCAGCAGCTTCACCACTAACCTCTCCTCCATCAGCAGGTGCCTCCTGTACCTTCTCTCCATCACCACCGTCCGCAGCTGCCTCCTCTCCCTCCTCCCACACACTAGGAGTCAGGTCCAGCTGCATGGTGATCTGCTCCATCTGCTGGGACACCCTTGCCTCCGGCTGTTTCTCCCAGCTCCCATACATCATGCCCTCAATGAATTTCACATCCCTGCTGTCAAACAACACACCCTTGGATGGTTCCCACAGCAGCCATCCCTTGCTCTCAGCAGCCAACCCCAAATGCACACACCAGATTGCACTTGCCCCCAACTTACTACGGTAGGTCTTGGGGACGTGGGCGACTGCCATGCAGCCAAACACCCTCAGCATGTCCACCGGCGGCTTCCTCCCAAGCCACCTCTCCAACGGCACCCACGAGTCATCACCAACCTTGGTGAGCACCCTGTTCCTAGCGACGGTAGCGTGCCGAACAGCGTGGGGCCACATGGAGTTGCCAAGCCCAGATTCTATGAGCAGCGCCCTAGCTGTCTCTAGAATGGTCCGGTTCGCCCGTTCTGCTACACCGTTGGACTGTGGGGTATAAGCCGTGGTCAGCTCCCTCTGAATGCCCTGCTTCTTGAGCCAGGCTGTCATTTCAGCTCCAAGGAACTCACCACCCCGGTCTGTCCTAATCCGCTTCACCATACACTCCGCTTGCTTCTCCACGAATGGCAGCCAATCATCCCGAATCGTGGAGGCGGCGTGATCTTTCTGCTTCAGCGGATACGCCCACATTAGCCTGCTCCAGTCATCCACTATGGTTAGGAAATACCACTCCCCCTTGTGCCCTTGCACCGGCAGCGGCCCCACCAAGTCCATGTGGACCAGCTCCAACGGCTTCTTGCTCCTGCCAGCCACACTATGGAAGGGGAAACGGGTGAACTTTGAAAGGAGGCAAATTTCACAGTTATCATCGGGTGGTTGTCCGTTCAGTTTCAGACCCTTAACGGCTCCATCCTTCTCCAGCTGCTTCAGCAAAGGCATTGCCACATGCCCCAAGCGTCGGTGTGCCGTTCCCTAATCCGTCTCCCCAGATCTGGCCGACACTTTCACACCAACGCCTCCAACGGCGTTGCACTCCCCCTGGGATGCAGACCCCTCTCCAGCCTGCCCCCCACCATGCCACGCCAACGCCGGCAGCTGCCACATGGATCTGTACACGTCCTTGCTCTCATGCAGATCCCAAAGCACCCGATTGCCCAGCTGCCCCTTGTAAGTGCGAGCCCCATCCGTGTTGGTGTTCACCCCAATCTTGCCAAGCTTACGGAGCGAGATAAGGTTGGCCTTTAGTTCGGGGACGAGGAGAACGTCGTGCAGCACTACCGGATTGTCATCCGCTCCCTTAAACGCAGCTCGTCCCGCACTAGCCACCTTCAACATGTGTCAAGAGGCGGAGCACACTTCATTGATTGGTGGAGCGAGTTGTCCAGCAGGTCCTTGCGCGGCGTCATCGTCCAAGCAGCACCCGTCTCCAATACCCAAAAGTCCAGGGGGTGCAGCTCTGCTCCAACCTTGGCAGATGCGTCTCCTTGCTCCCCCTTGTCTCCCACATGGAAGAATTGGCCCGCGGTGCGCTCCTTCTTCTTCTCCGCACCGCCGTTGCCCTTCGGGTTGTTGTCGGACGAATCAGCGACCATGTTCGCGCCGTTTTTCTGGTTCCTTCGCGCGCCGCCATCCTGGTGACGATTCTGGGGGGTCCATCCATCGGGTTTCTTATAGCACAAAAACCAGGGGTGCCCTTCCTTCTCACAATACCAGCAACTCCCTTTCATTTTGCCACCAGCACTCGACTTGCCCCCACGTCCAGATTTTGCACCGCGACCCCAACCGGTACATCCCTGTTGGTCGTTGGAGTCGTCGTCCTTCTTTGCACCGCGTCCAGCACCACCGAAGCCACGTCCTCTGCCACGTCGGCTCCCTTGCATCCCGTAGCCGCTGCTGCCGTCGTCTCCACCCCTCAGTTGGCGGCGACGGAAGTCCTCCTCCAGAATCTTCATCCGCACCCACTCGAGCGTCCACAAGCTCTGGTTCTGCGGCAGGCTCAATCCGCTCGTGAATTGAAGCCACGATTCCGGCAGCAGCGAGAGCATCTTCAGGCACTTGGTCTGCTCCGGGTAGGTGATTCCCGCGATCGCCAGCTTCGCGTAGAGATCACGCATCTTGTCCAGGATGGGTTGCACCGGCTCTCCCTCGCTCAGGCGCAACGCGGACAGCTCCCTCTCCATCATGAGCGTAGCGGCGACGGAGGTCGGGGCGCTCAGCTCCTTCAATACGATCCACGCCTTCGGACCGCACTCGACCTCCTGCAGCAGGTGCATGACGTGGTGACGCTGGTTCAGCTCCAAACTCTGCGACATCAAGTAGTAGCCAGCCGAGGCGCGCTCGTCCCAATCTTCCTGAAGGGCGGGGTCACTCGGTCTAGGCTCCTCCCCAATCATTAGTTTCAGCAAACTGATCTGACGGAAATATAGTTGCATTTTCCAGGCCCAATCATCATAGCCCTCACCATTGAACTTCTCGACGGTGAAGTTTTTCAGCACCTCCTTGATCAGCGAGCCCTGGCTTGTTCGCGCTCCCCTTGGCGCAGAAACACCAGAATCTTGGCTGCCGCTACGATCTTGGGCTGAAGATTCACCAGCTCCCGCCGAGGTGTTGCCCGCCATAGCTACCTATAACGAGGATCATTTTAACGCAGCTTTGATACCAGCTTGTTGGTATAAGGGCCTAATAAACTCAAGCTATTAGGACTTAATAAAACTTAAAACCTCTCCTCGGGGTCACCTCCAAGGGTCCCTGGGTGCCTGGCACAAGACCAGCCCCTATCCTCGGGTCCGAGTTTGTAGAGAGAGGAGTCAAGAAAGACTTAGCCAAAATAACAAGAGTACCTTGAACATTGCGCATCGTGCCGTGCAGACCATCGATCGGATTAAGCTGAGAATTTGCTATATCGAAGCTCGCTCCAAGAGCTTTAAAATGAGCCAAGTTGCCTCGCAAAAAGTTCTGCCATTACGAAGTTATGGCTCGGACAGCGTTTACCTAGCGTTGGAGTGCTAGCGTACTAGCGTTGACTCGAGCAGCATTCCGCCGTCGAACCGCGTAGACACGAAATTCCAGCAAGGAAGGAATCCGCTTGAATCAATTGACTATATCCAGGTACAAACAGAGAAGGAATAAATAGTTCTAGCTAGCAAGGACCTTGGGAATCAACCTGGGAACAACCAGGGATGATCCCAAATATTTCCAAGCAACAGAACCAACCTGGCTGGACAAAATAGCAGGTGGTAGGTTGGTAAACAACCTCTGGTTCTGTTTTTCCAACCTGGGAAAACAACAACCAGGTTCAGGTTCTAAAAACAGAACCTGTTTTGTCTTTGCCCAACCAGCCAAATGCTGGTTCTGCTGGTTTCCCCTGGCCTTGTAGCATGCAGATACAGACAAACAACATCCAAACTTCACCTAAATTGTACCCCTATAGTGCCTGCCTTGCTACACTATAGTCAACCAAACAATACAGTACAATTTCGAGTTGGATAGAACTGAATCTGCGCAATCAATTCAACCGAACTGCAAAGCTTCCATCTTGGGTTCCTTTGCAAGCTCGTCCTTTCTGCTTGCACTGTTTATAGCGCGTACAATGTTATGCCGAAGCGCACATTGCGCGAGTACCTGCAAATGCTTCAAGCGAAAATTGCGAAAGCAAACAAGCACACGAACACACCATTCACACGCAAACGCATTCGCACACGCATACTCGTACAAACAGATGGCAGGATGTCGTGCAATGTGAATTTGCACCCAACAAGATTAAGTGCGTTACTTGCGCTACTGGTTGTTACTAAATGTAATCCCGTTACTTGCCCCTATGGTTGGTACTAAGCGCAATTGCGATACTGACCCGTATGGTTGGTACTAATAGTAGGTGCGGTACTTACGCTAATGGTTGGTATCAAGAGTAAGTGTGTCTTACTCAAGTGTAAGTACGTTACTTACTCTTATCGCTTGTTTAACAGTAGATGCGGTACATTTTCTTATGATTGGTACTTAGCGTATGTGTGATGCTTATTCTTATGGTTGGTACTAAAATTATGTGCACTACATACCCTTATGGTTGGTACTAAGCGTATGTGCGTTATTTATGGATACGGTTGTTACTAAGAGTAAGTGCTCTACCTGCGCTTATGTGTGGTACTAAGAGTAAGTGCGTTACATACATTGACGTTTGGTACTAAGATTATGTGCGTTACTTTTCCTAATGGTTTGTAATACGAGTAAGTGCGTTGCTTACCTTTATGGTTGGTACTACATGTAAGTACGTTTTTTTTAAGTTATGGTTGGTATCAAGAATACGCATTTACTCTTAGCAACGACTATAAGGTTACAACGCAAACTTACTTTCATTACCAACCATAAGGGTAAGTATCGCACTTATTCTTAATATTAAGCGTAAGCGCAAATTACGCTCTTATTTCCAGATAATAGCGGTGATCGCCACTATTACGTGACAAGATGAACAAAGATGAGATTTGTGCATATTCTATGTACTGTATGTAGCAAGGTGGGGATATCAAGAGTCAGTTGAGGAGTGGTTTAAGGCTTACGATTCAGGGCTAAAGGTCTAGGGTTTATGGCTCCCTATCCTACTTGTATGTTTTTTATGATTTTTATAATTGTGTGCTTGCTTTTCCTCTAACACAACACTGCTTCCTTGCTCTCGTGCGAAAACTGTAGTACCATGCATTGACAAGAATTGAATTACGTGGTGTTGTCGGAACGCTATTCGGCCAGTTCTTTCTCACTTCAAGCTAGGCCAAGCTTCCTTACTGACTTGTATACCTTTGGCTAGGAGGTGTCACGTTGTCACACTCTGAGGGTCTCAACTGGAGTATGTACGGCTAGATTTAATACTTCGGTTTTGATTATGTCTGCATAGTGCATAATACTCAACCAACTGCAGCCGTTTAACAAGGAATTTCGCATTTTCCCCGTTCATGCTACCAGCAAGCATCACATTATGTTGACGCTTAGGGTTAATTACATGCTACAACAATTGTCAGTTGTTTGAAGTACACGTTGACTCCATCACGAACATGTCCATATGACTGAGAGTTGGTCGACCACACGCTGTCAAAACTGGCCATCCACAAAACTCTTTCACTGACCAACGTCAGAAGGTTCTCCTGAGTGTAATGACTCACAATCCCTATGATGGAAGACAAATTCTCGAACCCACAATTGTCTTGTAGTGCTTCAATGGGTTTTTTTTCAAAAGTGGGTACGATGTAGGAAAGAGAAAGAGATTTTAAAACACGAGGCAAAGAATAAATCTATCTTGCAAACAGTACGCTTCTTTGCAGGCGTGCACACTATTGTCGCGTGCGCTAGTGCCGCACACACTAAAGCCACGCGCACTGGTGCTATCGAAGCCGCGACGTTACATTCACTCCAAGTTCAGTAAGCCGTCGTAAAAGCGGCGCTACCACGTTTGCATGCCTCCGACCACTGCATGACGACGTGCAAGACGACGTCGACCTATCGAGCTTGATCCGAGCATGCACGCTGACTTGGGGCACCCCTGGGACATCACGAACATGCCATTCTAAGAGATGTTGGTGAGCTAGAAGGGCAAGTCGGTGAAGGCCGTCATGGACGAGGAGATTCGAAGCCCCTTCGTGGACGGGACATGGGAGATGGTCTAGAAACTGTATGGTGTCAAAGTCATGAAGAACTGTGCTGGGTGCTGATGACCAAGTACCACGTCGATAATACGGTTGGCCGGGAAAAGGTTCGATTGGTCTTGAAGGGCTTCATACAGGCGTACAACGTCAACTACGAAAAGACGTACACGCCCGCTGCGGATCTTTCACAGTATCGCCATCGTCATCAACATGCACCTGATGCAGCTCGACATGAAGAACGCCTTTCTGCAGAGCAAGCCTGACTAGTACGATAATGACACCGGCTGCGTGTGCAAGCTGCTGAAGAGCTGTATGGGCAGAAGAAGTTGCCGTTGTTGTGGTACTCGGCACTCGACACCATGCTGACCAGTGCCAGCTGGAGCAGGAGCTAGGTCGACCAGGCATTGTACTTCAAGGTCGGCGACGCTGGAGTGGCGTGCTGGTTGGTCATCTACGTCGATGACCTGCTCCCCGCTAGCATCAGCACCGCGATGCTGACGGAGCTATGTGAGCTATTGGAGGCTGCCTTCGTGCTGTGCGAGAATCTACCCAGTTGAGAAGTACCTCGGGCAGGAAACTTGTAGATGCTGGTCTCCATCGATGAACACTTTGAGCTGGCGTTTGACGAGGATGAGTTCCAGTCGTGCAAGGAAGAAGAGTACCGGCAGAAGGTAAGCTTGCCGCTATGACAAGAAGGCCAGCATCGCCTTTGAGTGCCGCAAGCTGGTTTCTGGCCTCACCGTGTAGAACGACCAGCACTGGCATGAGGTTGACCGCCGACTTGGCTACCTCTCCGACACAATTCTCACCACTCTAGAGTTTGGCGCTGACGCCGACGTCAGACAGAACCACAATAGCACAAACGGCTATGTTTTTGTCTTCGTTGTGCCTCCATCTCCAGGTTGAGCCTGCTCATCAAGTGCGTGACTTTGTCATTGCGGAGTCGGGGTACATCACAGCCACTTAAGCCAGCAATGAGGCACGTCGACGTCGCTTCCTCCCCTCGGAGTTCCAGCTGCTCGACGCTAGAACGCCGACTGTCCTAAATGTGGTCAACCAGTCGACCATCGCGATTGCCGAAGGCTTGTGGCTCAAGGGCGACCTCAAGCACATGGAGAGGCGATATGTCTGACTGGAGAAGATGGTGAGGCGCAAGAAAGTTGTGCTATTGTACATCTCTACTACCAAGCAGATGGCCGACTTCCTGACGAAGGTGCATAAATGGCCTTCAATCGCTCCGTTGCAATCGGCCAAGTGCGTCTAGCCAAAGTCGGCGACCGTAAGAACAACGTGCAGTAGTAGGCACCTTGCCCTTACGGCATGGCTGGTACGGTGACGATATTGTGCAGTAATAGGCGTCATGCCCTTCGGCATGGCTGGTGTAGTGACCGGCATGCTGTGTGTAGTGCGTACGCTAACGACTGCCCCCATGTATTCTATCCCTTGGGTTCTGAGATGAACCTCGTGTGTGGGTGCCCGAGTGTGAGCAAGTTTTGGCAAGAACTGGCCCCGCACTCGATTGGGTGAAGCTGACTAAGCAGTTGGATGTATGGGATGTGGAGATAACTCTAACAACGGGAGCCTGACTACGGGGAAGGCATGGGGTAGGAGTGATCGTAGCATTCGTTCCTTTGTCGTTTGCTTGTGTACTCACTAATTGCTCATTCACGGGGAAATTTGGAAAGAGCTCCACTAGCAAAGATTGTTAACAATGGTTCAGAATAATAGCAACAACGTTGGCAAGAGAGACTACAACAGAGCTAGCAAGCATGCAAGTCGACCTCCAGCACAGCACAGTCGACCGCGATCCAGCATTGCAAAGCTCGCACTGCTCCAGCGCTACAGAGAAGCAGCTTGCCAACGTTGCAAGTCTGCGGCGTGTCAACGCTGCAGTAAGGCGGCTGCATAGAGTTGCACCCACACGACAGCACCGCACCCTCTTCGCAGGTGCTCGCAGCTGGTTGGCGTCCTGTGCCCTGTCATGTGCACAGCGTGGACGCCACGCCAACCACGTGCCCACGTCTGTACCTGATCTTCCACGTCGACCTCGGGATACCACACCGACCTCGACTTCGCCAAGAACACCTGGGCGACCGTCGTGCACCTCCTCAATGCTCCGTCGCCCGTGTAACTTGGTCAACTGGGCAACCATGTTGATGCCTTTTGGTTGGAGTCCTCCCAGGTCGGCGTCCTGACGTCCAGGCCGGCGTCCAGACGCCCAAGTCGGCATCCAGGCGCCTAGG